TAATAAGGGCTGAGCTGTCACTAAAGCTTTTCCCACAGTCCAAGCATATATAGGGTCTGTCTCCTGTATGGATTATCTGGTGTCTAAGAAGTTGGGTGCTCCAGTCAAAACTTTCCGCACACTCCAGGCATTTATAGGGTCTCTCTCGAGTGTGAATTCGCTGATGTGAAATAAGATTTGAGCTCTGATTGAAGGTTTTTCCACACTTAATACATTTATATGGTTTCTCTCCCATGTGCAGTCTTTGATGTGTGATGAGGTCTGAGCTCTGTTTGAAGTTTCCCCCACAGTCCAGACATTTATAGGGTCTCTCTCCCGTGTGAATTCTCTGATGGGAAGTAAGGTTAGAGCTCTGATTGAAGCTTTTCCCGCACTCGCTACATTCATACGGCCTCTCTCCTGTGTGGATTCTCCAATGGGAAACAAGGTTTGAGCTACGACTGAAGCTTTTCCCACACTTGGTGCATGTGTTTTTTCTCTCGTCTCTGTGGATTCTCTGCTGGGCTGCGGTTTCCTCGAGGTCCTTGCCATTTCCCTTACAATTAGTGGTTTTATCCACTTTCTTCCCTGGCTGGTTTCCCTGCCACTTCTCTGACTTGTGTGGAATCTCCCAGGCTTTCCCCTGCTTATGACTCTGGAAAAAATTCCCTTTGGATCTTCCTGATAAAGTTTTGTGCAGTTCCACTTCCTCAGCAGCTTCCTGCTGAGAATTCTCCTCCTTGTTCTTACTCATCCTCCCATCACCTGCTGGAAACAGAGGGAGAGAGAATCAAAGACGGGTTATTCGCTGTGCCATGGTGGAAAGAAAGAAAGGGGAAGATCAAAGAGGAGAAACATAGCACAGTAACTGTTGGGGAGATCGAGAAAGGTAAAATTCCAATTGTCTGTAATTCCTGCGTTTCTAAAGTGGACATCTGACGGTCCATGATCAAGTGGGTTGTTCTTTCTCACCTTCCAGGCATGGAGACTACAAAGAGACTCCAGGCATGCTTGGAAGATGAGGAGGAATAATCCAGTTATGGTGGAGTACCAGATACCAGATAGCAAGCTCATGCCAGCTGTCGGTAACATTGGGTGGGGAACCATGAGTGAAAACCACCACGAGGATATATGCAAACATCTTGCTGGGATGTATTAGCAGGTGAGTTGTAAGCAAGACATGAGAAGTAATTCTTCCGTTCTACTCCGCGCTGATACGGCCTCAGCTGGAGTAGTGTGTTCAGTTCATGGTGCCACACTTCAGGAAAGATGTGGACAAATTGGTGAAAGTCCAGAGGAGAGCAACAAAAATGATGAAAGGTCTAGAAAACATGACCCAGGAGGGAAGATTGAAAAAACTGGGTTTGTTTAGTCTGGAGAAGAGAAGACTGAGAGGAGACATGATAACAGTTTTCAAATACGTAAAAAGTTGTTACAAGGAGGAGGGAGAAAAATTGTTCTCCTTAACCTCTGAGGATAGGTCAAGAAGCAATAGACTTAAATTACTGCAAGGGAGGTTTAGGTTGGACATTAGGAAAAACTTCCTAACTGTCAGGCTGTTTAAGCACTGGAATAAATTGCCTAGGGAGATTGTGGAATCTCCATCATTGGGGATTTTTAAGAGCAGGTTGGACAAACCCCTGTCAGGGATGGTCTAGATAATACTTAGTCCTGCCATGAGTGCAGGGGACTGGAGTAGATGACCTCTCAAGGGCCCTTCCAGTCCTATGATTCTATAATCTGGATACAGCCCTGACCTGGGTGAGATGAGGCAGAACTGGAACAATTTGCTCACAACACATTGGTGGGAGTCCCAGCTTCTCCCTTCACTCCACAGATGGTTTCTGCATCAATTTCATTGACAACTCGCCGGTGTGGGCGTCTCTTGGGATCTCCCTTTCCTTGGAGGCCTGGGTATCCAGGACCCACGGCTCTTCCCCTCGTTCCAGCCGGGAGATCAGGTCAGGCTTGGGAAGGGGCGGGGGGGGGGGGAACCAGGCATGATCAGGGTGTGTCAAGCATTGGAAGAGGTCAGATGTGTTACAAAGAACATTCCTTGATTTTAACCTGGCCCTGTGCTGGGCTGTGGGGGACACGGACTCTGAACGGACAGGAACACGGTCACTGAGCCCCCTTGGGAGAGGCAGATGTCTGGAGGGGGCGCTTCCAGGATCTGGGCACTCTAGGGGATTTGCTGAGATTCATCCCCCGCCTTTTCCTCAGTCTATAGAGCCCTCCTCACAGATGGAGCTAGTCCCAGGAAGGGAGGGGGACAGGGCTTCTGTGTGTGAGTGAGAATTAATACAGGCAGGTCAACGCACTGCTTCCGCCCCCTTGAAAGCCGTTGGGATGGGAATGAATCATCCTCTCCATTGTATTTCTGACTCCCTGACCTCATGGAAGAAGGCAAAGAGAGTAAAGTCTCTCTCACACTGGATCTGGGGACATTGGAGCCTTGAAATCTAAGGCACCACAAGCCACATCACAGACGCCCCCTCCCCTAGCTTCCAATAACCGAGGGGACAGGAATCCCTTACCCGGCGAGGTCCCCGTCTCATAGTTCTCCTGCATGACGTCCCTGTAGAGGGCTCTCTGAGCGGGGTCCAGCAGAGCCCCCTGCCCCTGGGTGAAATACACAGCCACCTCCTCAAAGGTCACCGGTATCTGAAACACCAAGAGTCCCCCACTCAGCACCTGCTGCCCCAGCCACATTCCCACGGGAGGAGAGCAGGAGCCTTCCTGTTTATCACACACCCACTAGCCAGAGGCTGGCACAGGAGATGGAGACCCGGAGCAGGGTCCAGGGACAGGAATCCCAACCCCCTCCCCATTCCCAGCAGCTGGGAGTGAGGGGACGGGGCCTCTCCCCTGGGCCTCAATGCTGGGTGCCCACTTCATATTCCATAGCAGCCTCTGGCTGGTAGGTTCAAGCTGCAGCACCAGGGATCTGTTAAGTTTTCCTTCCCAGGGGGGTTGTTTCCTGTTCCAGAAATGGGCGAACTCCTCCCGCCCAATGGGCCTCCTCTGAAAAAAAACAAGCCCCAGATTACCCAGGGCCCAGCAGGGTAGGCCCAGCCTGTCCTCCCCCTTCCTCGCTCTGCGTAATTCCTGCCCCTCCCCCTCTAGTAGAAACCCATCCTGCAGCTCCCTTAAAATCCCCTACCTGCATGAGCTCTGCTGCCGCCATTTCCCGGGGGAGAACCAGGGCTGTTATTCTGCAGCCTGGCGGAGCGAGAAGGGCGACCGACCGGAAGGTGCCCCCCCCTCCTCCCCTGGCTCTTTCCCTGCAGACCCATATTCAGACTCTGGCAGGCTGGGAAAACCCTCAGTCATTTTATGACAGCGTCGCCCCGGCCCCTCCCAGCAGGACTAACCCCACCGAGACACTTGAAAACCCTTCCAGGAACAGCGTCTCGGAGCCAGATGCTAGAAAAGAGCAGCATCAAAGGAGCCACTTTGGGGGATTCCCCCTGGCATAGGCGCCGACTCCATGGGTGCTCCGGGGCTGGAGCACCCACGGGGAAAAATTGGTGGGTGCTCTGCACCCACCGGCAGCTCCCCGCCCGGCCCCCACTCCACCTCCTCCCCTGAGCGCGCTGCCGCGTCCTGCTTCTCCCCCCTCCCTCCCAGCGCTTGCGCCGCAAAGCAGCTTGGGGGAGGAGGCGGGGCCGGGGCGGGGATTTGGGGAGGGGTCCAATAGGGACAGGGAGGGGCGGAGTTAGGGCGGGGACTTTGGGGCAGAGGTGAAGTCGGGGTGGCGGCGGGGCCGGGGGTGCGAGCACCCATCGGTGCAGAAAAAAGTTGGCACCTGTGCCCGCTGGGACAGTCCCCAAGGGCAGTGTGTCCCCCCAGCAGCGAGGGGTTTTGGTGGAAGGAAGAAGTGGCTTCTCCTCTCTCTGCTCCTGACATTCCCAGGAAAGTCAGTCTACCCAGGGATGCTGCAGGCAAGGCTTAATTTGTAATGAAAGAGGGACCGGGGCTCGAGCCATTTTTTTACTTTCATAACTGATGTGGCAAGCTCAGAGGTGCACCTGGGGCGGCCATTGTAAACCCAGGTTGACAATGCAGTGTGGATGCCTAAGACCTGGGGTTGCAATGCAGTGTAGACATACGCTGTGTGTCCCCAATTCTGCTTTACACCCCATGCCAGGCGGTCTTTGTGGCCCTTTCACTCCTCCCACCAGCTCTGTCCTACATTCAACGTGAAGCCCCATCTCCCTTAGTCTGGATGTTCTGTGATCTCTTTCCAGCACCACATCTGAGCAATTCCAGAATTCAGGGGAAACGTGGGTCTCACTGAGCCCCGATCTGGTTAGCACACAGATCACCTTTAACCACAAAGAACATAAGACTGGCCATATTGGATCAGAGCAATGGTCCATCCAGCCCAGTGTCCTGTCTTCCAACAGTGGCCAATGCCAGGTGCCCCAGAGGGAATGAACAGAAGAGGTGATCATCAAGTGATCCATCCCGTCACCCATTCCCAGCTTCTGGCAAGCAGAGATTAGGGACACCCAGAGCATGGAGTTGCATCCCTGCCCATCCTGGCTAATAGCCATTGATGTACCTATCCTCCCTGAAATTATCTTGTTCTGTTTTGAACCCTGTTATAGTTTTGGCCTTCACAACATCCTCTGGCAAGGAGTTCCACAGATTGACTGCGCAAAATACTTCCTTTTGTTTGTTTTAAACCTGCTGCCTATTCAGTTCATCGGGTGACCCCTCCTTCCCCGGTTCTTGTGTGACGTGAAGAGGTGAATAACGTTTCTCTATTCACTGTCTCCAGACCAGTCACGATTTTATAGACCTCTACAGTCAGCTTTTTCCTAAGCGGAACAGTCTCAGTCTTTTTCACCCCTCCTCGTACGGAAGCTCTGTGTAAGCTCGGAAGCGTGTGTCTTTCGCCAGCTGAAGTCAGTCCAACAAAAGAGATCACCTTCCCCACCTTGTCTGTGTAACATCACACACTCTCCCTTCTCCTTTGGGTCACTCTCTCTCTGCCCTCCCCTCTCTCCTTTCCCCACCATCACTGTCTTCTTTCTGACCCTTTCCCTTCCTGACAAGCAAACCCGAGAGACAAAGGACAACCCCCATCCCCTTATGGTCCCTCCATGCTGTTTTCCCAGCCTGATCCCCCCAATTTGGCCTTTCCCCCAGGTCTCTCCCCATCACCTGCAGGCTCCGGCTTGGGAGCTGGTGTCGGCAGAGCCCAGGGCTGGTTCCAGCCACTGGAGAAAATCCCCACCCGGGCTGGGCACAGAGGGGGGTTAGTGCCCGTCTCTCCCTGCACAGACCCCGCTGGGGAGCAGCAGTGTCTCTGCCTCTCAGCTCAAGGCTCACGCTGCAGCGTGTGACCCAGGAAGCTCAGGCCCTGACATGCTGAGGCGGGAGAGAGGGACTAGAGCTCCCCTCCCGTTGCAATCACCAGAGCCCTCTGGCAGGGGCTGCATCGGCCTGTCTACACCAGTGGTTCTCGACCTTTCCAGACTACCGCACCCCTTCCAGGAGGCTGCTTTGCCTCGCGAGCCCCCAAGTTTCACCTCACTTCAGAACCACTTGCTTACACAATCCGACAGGGAAATACAGAAGTGTCACGGCCACTAGTACTGACCAATTGGTGACTTTCTCGTTTATACCCTCTAATTATAAAAGAAATCAATGGGAATATAAATATTGTGCTTACATTTCAGTGTACAGTCTATAGAGCAGTATAAACAAGTCACTGTCTGGCTGAAATTTTAGTTTGCACTGAGTTTGCTAGTGCTTTTTATGGAGCCTGTTGTAATACTAGGCAAATATCTAGATGAGTTGACGTCCCCCGCCCCCCCCCCCCCAAAAACCCCTCCGTACCCCTAGGGGTACATGGGCAGCGTGCGAACCGCCAGCTCGGTGAGACTAGCTCCCAGCCCCACCCCTTCCACCTGAGGCCCCCCCCTTTCTTCCCCCCTGCTGGAGCCCTCACCGCAGCTGCCGGCCCCCACCCCAGGCTAGCGCCCCCAGCCCCAGAGCTCCGGGAGGGCAGGCAGCACGGAGCAGCGTAGCCCCAGGCCCAGAGCACCAGGCAGGCAGGCAGCAGGGTGACCAGACAGCAAGCGTGAAAAATCGGGACGGGAGTGGGGGATAATAGGAGCCTATATAAGAAAAAGACCCCAAAATCGGGACTGTCCCTATAAAATCGGGGCATCTGGTCACCCTAGCGGGTGGTGTGGCCCCAGCCCTGGAGTGTTGGGCATGACCCCAGCCCCGGGGCACTGGGAAGGCAGGCAGTGCGGCCCCAGCTCCGGAGTGCCGGGTGGCGCAGCCCAGCGTCAGCCCCTCGGCACAGGTAAACTGGGAGCCAGAGCAGGAAGCGGGAGGGAGTCTGGGGGTGGCTGTTTGGAGAGGCTCAGCCTCCCCCAGCCTGTGATACCTGCCGCCCATGGGTACACAGACCCCTGGTTGAGAACCACTGGTCTACACCACACTGGGAAGGCAGCAGGTGTAGACGCACTCTAGGTTTGATCCAACTAGCCAGAGGGGCTGGAACAATCTGTACGGGGGGGGGGGGGAGCCATTGAACCAAACTGCAAACCCTGGATATGATGGAAACCACTTCAAGCCGGGGGTGCGACTGCCCCCCTACTTCCAGCACCTATGTAGCTTGCTCCACTACCAGTAGTGGCGGAGACATGGCAGTCGGGAAAGCAGCACTGTCTAGCCTCTTAAGCACACACCCAGGGACCTGGTTGGGCTTGTGAAATTGGCAGCTCCAGAACCCCCGTTCTGTGTGTCTGTAGTTCACACCAGCGGTTCTCAACCAGGGGTCCGGGACCCCTGGGGGGGGAGGGGGAGGGGCGCGAACAGGTTTCGGCTTCCAATTTTCCCCGGGGGGTGCTCAACCCCGTCCCCACTCCACCCTTCCCCCAAGCCCACACCCCGCTTCTTCCCCACCTCTTTCCGCTCCCTCCCCTGAGCACATCCCGTCCCTGCTCCTCCCCGACCTTCCCGGTGCCCGTCCTGGAACAGCTGATCGACGGTGGGTGGGAGGTGCTGGGGGAGGGGAGCAGGCTGTTGGTGGGAGCTAAGCACCCGCTTATTTTTTTCCGGGTCGGCGCCTACATATGTGGCGGTGGTGCTTCACTTGAATCCGTTTCGGCTTCTTTTGTTTTTCACTTGAGTAGTTATTTTTTTCCTGTTGCACAAACAAGCCAACGGTCTCTTGTAATAAGAGCAGACGCAAAACTGGGATTTTGGTCCATGCTTACAATGAAATGTGCAGGCCGCGTCACAGCACCGTACCTACGGTAACGACTTTGTATAATGCTCTGCAAGCTTAACCGAAATCGGTCAGAATGCACAAGCGAGATCTAGAGTCAAAACGCACAGCGCCACCCGAGGACCTGATAGGTCTGGAGGAAAGAGAGTTGCTAGTTATTCATGGCTGTGGGTAAAATGTACGCAGCAAGATTTTTTTCCCCCTAATGCTTCTCGCACCCCCCTCCAGAATACATTCTGCTTCCTCAGGATGGTATACCCCCCACTTTGAAAACCTCTGCATTAAAGGGCCATTTTTATTCATTAGTCAAGGCAAAGGAATCCAGGAGTTTGAGAAATTAAATTCTACAAGCAAGAAATAAAAAGCCAAATCCCCCCCACCCCACAGAGCTCACCTCAGCATGGTGCCTTTCAGCCCCAGCCCGGTACATTGCTGCTCCCGCTTCCTCCAGGCACCAGCCAGGCTGTGACAAGGAGTATGAACCCCGCACTGGTGAGGCGAGGGTTAAAGAGCTGCTCTGGGCCCAAGAGGCCACTCAGACTCTGGGCGTAGAGCTCCCCGCCGGAGGCAAGAAGCCCCGGGCAGCTTCTCTCCTACTCCCAGCTGGGAGCATGGAGGCAAGAAGCCCTGGGGGGCAGCTGGGCTCCCAGCGCGGAGCTGCACGGGACGGAGAGCCCTGGTTGTCAGTCCCCCACACTGCCCCTCTTCAGTCGGGGGAAGCACACCACCGATCCAAGGAGGGTAGTGTGGATGTGCACCACGGCAGTAATTCACGCAGTGGCTGTAAGTCGACCTAACGGAGGTCGACTTATCTTTGTAGCGTAGACACAGCCTTAAAGAGGAGGATAAACTCTCCAGGGTTTGGACCAGAGCCTTCTGTGGCGAGCGGAATCGTGATGCTGATGGGGGCAGGTTGAGTTCAATTAGGAGCCGTAACACCTTTGAGGAACGGGACAGGAATCCTTTCAGTTCATCTCCTCTCCCTCTCCTAACACAGAGGCTGAAACAACCTACCTTCCATCTCCGCTCCAACTCTTTTATAATCTGTGCCATTCGGTGTTATAAATATATTTACAAACAAAACCCACAAAGGAAAAAATACACCCCACTGCTCTTCAGGAGAAGTGGGAGACAGCTGAGACGGAGCCAATCTCTCCCTGGAGGGGAAACTTGGAAACTGAAACCAGGAACATGAGTGGCTCCGAATGAGTCAGGACTAGGCAAAGAAGCAGAGGCTTGGTCCAGGTCACCAGGAAAGAAGCTAGCTAACCCGGGCCGCTTTTCCTAGTCCAGACAGACCCTCAGAGCTCGATGCTTCTAGGACTGAGGTGGGATTCCTAGACTCTAGGCTTTTTAAAGTCCCCCACCAGAGGCCCAGTGAAAATCAGTCCCTCTGAATTTGTGAATGTGGGCAGGGAAAAGGGGAAGAGAAGTTCATGACTGGAGACAGGACCTTCCTAACCGCACCCCTCCCCTCTTATCCCATGATCCCCAAACGTTCAATAACCCCAGCACCCAGCCCCCTTTCACTCTCATCTCCCCCAGCCTCAACAGTTCAATTCCCCAGTTCCCTGCCCAACACCCGTCCCTCCCAGTCCCTTAACGGTTGATCCCCCAGAACCCTGGGGGATTTGGGAAGGGGAGGCATTACCAGCCCCCAGGGACACTTCCCCTGCAGGGAACAGCTCCAGGTAAGTGGGGGAGCCCAGCCAAGGGGCTGGTGGAAGATGGGGGGTGGGGACAGGTGTCTAGAGTGAAGGTGGGGCCTGGCCCAAGTGTCCTTCTCCTCATCTCCATGGCAGGGGGATCCCGGCTGGGAGGGGAAGGGAGAGGGGGGAACTTCAGCCAGGCAGAGGGAGCGGCTGGAGGAGTTTCTCTCTCTCTCTTCCCCCACCTGTGGCTCACCAGCCAGGGCTGCAGCAGGGGGGAGGGGCTGATCGGGGCTTCTCCTCCTCTGCCTGGGGTTTGCTTAGACCAGGCAGAGCCAGAGGGTCACAGATCAGCTGCTGCTGGATCCTCACCCCAGCGATGGGCAGCTGGACACTTGGGAGACAAATGCCCCTGATGTGTCTGGGAACGAGGAAATGTTGGGTTTTTTAAACGATAGCCAGCCCTAACCTGGGCACTGATACAATTTTCCCTCCGGTGTGGAGGAGTCTCTGATGTCCAATATGGCATTCGCGCCACCTGAAGGATTTTCCTTGCTAAGGGTGTGTAAGAGGTCTCCTTCCCTATGTCGAGCTGCTGATGCACGAGACAATCAGAGCCCAGCTGATGCTTCTTCCACATTCGAGGGATTCTCTCCAGTGTGCAGCCTCTGGTGTCTAGCAAGGGTGGAGATCCGGCTGAAACTTTTCCCACAGCCGGTGCATTCATAAGGTTTTTCTCCGGTGTGAATCCTCTGATGCGCAGTAAGCGCTGAGCTCCAGTTGAAGTTTTTCCCACAGACAAGGCAGCTATACGGCCTCTCCCCCGTGTGGATTCGCCGGTGCGTAATAAGAACGGAGCTCTGAATGAAACTTTTCCCACAGTCGGAGCATTTATAGGGTTTGTCTCCCCTGTGGATCCTCTGATGTTGAAAGAGGTTTGAGTTCTGATTGAAGCTTTTCCCGCAGTCCAAGCATTCATACGGTCTCTCGCCGGTGTGCGTTCTCTGATGTGCAACCAGGTTTGAGCTCCAGTTGAAACTTTTCCCACATTCAAAGCATTTATAGGGTTTTTCCCCCGTGTGGGTTCTCTGATGTTTAATAAGGCCGTAGTTCTCAACAAACCGCTCCCCACACTCAGTGCACGTATAGGATTTCTCTCCTGTGTGTTGTTTCTGATGCCTGGTAAGGTTTGATCTGGATTTGAACGTTCTCCCACAGTTGAGGCATTCGTAAGGTCTCTCTCCCTTGTGGATTCTCTGGTGCGCGTTCAGGTTTGATTTGTGAACGAAGCTTGTGCCACAGATGAAGCATTTATGGGGTTTCTCCCCCGTGTGGATCCTCTGATGCACTATAAGGTGCGATCGGTAATCGAAGCTTTTCCCACAGTCGAGGCATTTATGGGGTTCGTCTCCCGTGTGGGTTCTCTGATGCACATTCAGGCTCGAGCTCTGAGTGAAGCTTTTCCCGCACTCGAGGCATTTATAGGGTCTCTCTTCCTTGTGGTTCCTCTGATGCACGATAAGGTGGGAGCTGTGAACAAAGCTTGTCCCACACTCGCCGCATTTATAGGGTCTCTCTTTGGTATGGATTCGCTGATGCGCCACAAGGTGGGAGCGCTGATTGAAGCTTTTCCCACATTCAAGGCACTGATAGGGTTTTTCTCCTGTGTGGATCCTCCGGTGCGCAACAAGGTGTGCGTTCTTAAGGAAACTTTTCCCACATTCGGCGCATGTGTTTTTTCTCTCTCTCATGGGGACCCTCTGCTGGGCAGGGGATTCCTTGAGCTCCTGGCCTCCTCCCACACCATGAATTGGTTCACCCACTTTTTTCCCAGGCTCATTTCCCTGCCGCCTCTTTGACCCGCACTGACTCTCCCAAGTTTCCCCCTGCACAGAGCTCCAGCAAACATTCCCTTCAGATCTTTCCGATAACGCCCCCTGTCGTTCCACTTGCTCAAGACCTTCCTGCTGAGGTTTGGTCTCACCCGCCACCCCATCACCTGCAAGGACGGAGAGACAGAGAGAAGCCGGAGGTGTGTTATTCCCTGTGCTGGGGAAAAGGGGGAACAGCAAAGAGAGCAAACCCAACACAATAACTTTTGGGGAGATTGAGAAACCTGGGAGAGACATTTCCCCCGGCCCAGGAGGATCAAGGATGCTGAACTGACACAGGCCGGGATTTGAAAGATTCTGGACCATTAATGTCTGTAAACTCCCTGAGCACTCAGTGTTCTCGTGGGTCCAACTGGCACCTGGGTAGCCAGTTGACTCATAGGCGTCTCTTCTCAAATGCAGGTTGTTTTAATTATTAGATGCCTTAGGTCAGGGGTCGGCAAACTACAGCCCAGGGGCTGCATCTGGCCCTTCATATGTTTTAATCTGGCCCTTGAGCTCCTGCTGGGGAGTGGGGTCCGGGTCCTGCACTGCTTCAGCGCTCCAGCTAGGGAGCAGCGTGGCTCCCAGAAGCAGCGGCATGTCCCCCTTCCGGCTTCTATGAGCAGGGGCAGCCCAGGGGCTCTGCACGCTGCCCCGCCCCAAGCGCCACCCTTGCAGCTCGTATTGGCTGGGAACCACGGCCAATGGGAGCTGCGGGGGCGGCGCCTGTGGACGGGGCAGCGTGCAGAGCCGCCTGGCCGCGCCTCTGCGTAGGAGCCGGAGAGGGGACATGCCGCTGCTTCCGGGAGCTCCTTGAGGTAAGTGCCGCCCAGGGCCTGCACCCCTGACCCCCTTCCGCACCCCAACCCCCTCCCCCAGCCCTGATCCCCCTCCCACCCTCCGAACCCCTTGGTTCCAGCCTGGAACATCCTCCTGCACTTCCAACCCCTCATCCCAAGCCCCACCCCAGAGCCCACACCCCCAGCCAGAGCCCTCACCCCCCCTGCACCCCAACCCCCAATTTCCTCAGCATTCCAGCCCGCCATACAATTTCCATACCCAGCTGTGGCCCTTGGGCCAAAAAGTTTGCCCACCCCTGCCTTAGGTTGTGAGCGGCTCGGAGCAGAGACTGTCCTTCATGAGGGCTTGGTAAGCACCCAGCACCCAGAAGCCTCGAGTGTAAACACACAGTATAAGTAATCAACACATCTTCCAGCTTACGCAGGGGGGGCGGGGGCGGGGAGGGAGACACGGACGTGTGGAAATGAAAGTCTCTCTCACCTTGGATCTGGGGATCTTGGGACCCAGTCCCCTGAAATCTAACAGACTAGGGAAGAACTTGAGCAGAAATAATAACCAAGGGGACGGGAATCTCTTACCCAGCGAGGTCACCGTCTCGTAATTCTCCTGCATGACGTCCCTGTAGAGGGCTCTCTGAGCGGGGTCCAGCAGAGCCCCCTGCCCCTGGGTGAAAGACACAGCCACCTCCTCGAAGGCCACCAAACCCTGAAACAACAAAAATCCCCAGCTTTGCCACCTGCTGCCTCAGCCACAATCCCACTAGTCACAGGGAGAGAGGGCAAAAAACTAAAACTCGGAGCTCTGGGAAGACAGACTAGCAGGCTCCCACCCTCACCCTGCTCAGAGCAGCCAGGAGGCTGCTGTGAGTGGGGAGAAAGAGAGAGCTCCTTGTCCCACTCAGCACATGGAGGATGGCAGGGGCCTTCCCGTTTATCACACAGCTACTAACCAGGGGCTAATATGGGAGATAGAGCCCCAGAGCAGGGTCCTGGGACAGGAATCCCAACACCCTCCCCATTCCCAGCAGCTGGTTGGAAGGAACGGGGCCTGTCCCCCGGGCCTCACCGCTGGGTGTCTCCTTCATATTCCAGAGCAGCCTCTGGCTAGCTCGCTCAGGCTGGGTATCTGGTCAATTTTCCCAGCCTGTCCATGGGGGCTGTTTTTCCAGAAATGGGGGAGTTTCCACCCCCCCATCCCAGTGGGCCTGTTTTGAAAATCAGGTCCCCAGAAGTGAACAACAGGGTCCCAGCAGGTTTATCACACCCTGTCCTCCCCCCCCACTGCATTTCCTGCTCTTCCCCTTCTAGTACAAACCCAGCAGCAGCTCCCTGGAAATCCCCAACCTGAGCAGGCTGCACCATCACAGCCCATCTCCCAGGAGGGCTAGTGGGTACAATCCGGAGCGAACCCTGGGTGTCCCTAGCTAGCCTCTGATCGCCAGAAGCTGGGAATGGGCGACAGGGGATGGATCACTTGATGATCACCTGTTCTGTTCATTCCCTCTGGGGCACCTGGCCTTGGCCACTGTCGGAAGACAGGACACTGGGCTAGATGGACCTTCGGTCTGACCCAGTGTGCCCGTTCTCATGTTATTCTGCAGCCTGCCAGGGGGACTGGGGAGGTGCAAAAGGGGCCTGAGTCCATGTCACACCCCGACCCCTGGGTCGCTTTATCCCGCAAAGAGCAGAATCAAAGGGGCCGCTTTGGGGGGATCCCACCCTGGCAGTCCCCGGGGACTCAGGTGGGACAGGACCTGGCTTTTCCTCTCCCGGCTCCTCACTTTGCTCCCAGGAAAGTCGGCTCTGCCTGGGGTGCTGCAGTGAATGGATCTGGGCAGGGCTGGGAACTTTGAACCGGTTCCAATTTGCCCCCACCCCTCCTTGCTTCTTTTCTGCCTCCTTCCCTCTCTTCCTCCGCCCGGATCGGATCCGGATCGACTCCGGTGAGCGCTAACCGGAGTCAGGGCCTGCGCCTCTCCCTGGGGGTGGGGGAGCTCCGGGACTCGCAGGGAGCACAGGTGGGGCCGCTTGTTGCTATACGTGGCGTCACACCGGCTCACAGTGGAAGCAGCACCTGACCCAGGAAATTCAATCCTAGGGGCTGATCTCCTGAGCAGAGAGAGACAGACACCGGCCTCCTCTCCCGGAGCCAGACCCAGAGCCCTCTGGTGGCAACGCGAAAGAACCAGCTTTCCTGGGCTCCCTCAGGCCCTGTGGAGGGTTGCAACACACACACATTTTGCACAGCTTAAGGGTGTGGCTAGATTCTGCAGCACCTTCAGCCAGCAGGGTCGGGGTAACCCAGCAGACAGGGTGTAAGCCAGAAACATGGTTCCCTGTTGCAGGGCAGGGGTGTTGTTTCTTACCTTCACTCCAACCAGTGCCCTCTCTGGCCTGGGGTCCTCGGCTCTTGTGGAAGGGAACCTCTGTCTTCCCAGTGTGGGATGTCCTGGGGCACTGGGAGAGGCTCTGGTGGGAGTAGCAGGATAATGTTACTCCTCCATATTCACCTCTCACAGCTGCAGCAGCCAGGGAGGCTCTGGGCTCTTGCAAACGGCCAGTGCAGGGGATCAGGAATTCACCCAGCAACCAAGCGTTACTGTAGCCAGGGCAGGGGACCTGGTTCTTGACATGGGCTGTGGGGTGGGATTCCCTGGGCAGGTCCTTGTACTTAAAGGGCAGAGAGAAGGAATCTGGCTGGGTCCCTCCTGGGTCTGGGATGGGGGGGGGGGGGTGCTCATCAGCTGTTGCCCTTTTTTGGGGGAGAGGGTATAGTTGCCTATATAAGACAAAGCCCCTTAAGGTGACCAGATGTCCCGATTTTATAGGGACAGTCCTGATTTTTGGGTCTTTTTCTTATATAGGCTCCTATCACCCCGCACCCCCGTCCCGATTTTTCACACTTGCTGCTAGTCGCCCTAAAGCCCCTAAGATTGGGATGGCTGGTCCCCTTGGCTGAGGATTCCCAGAAAATCCTGCTGAAGCTGGGGAAGCCGCTGCCCTGCTGATGGCCATGAGCTTCCCGCTGGTCTCAGGGGCTAAAAGGGGGCAGATCGGAGGGGGAGGGATGGGCAGAGTCTGTGTCAGGCCCAAACTGACTGCACAGGTGGGGCGAACAGCTGGAGGCCGGGGAAGGAGAGGGGGCAAAATCAGGGGCATGGGATAGGAGTCAGGGTAGAGGCACTGCCAGGCAGTGGCAGAGGGGGGAAAACCCAGGCGAGGAGGGTCTTCAGTGCCCGCCCCCACCACTGGTTAAACTTTTGAATACCTTATTTTTATGGCCTTTGTAGCCCATTTCACGACTTCGATGCACAATTTGCACGCGTGACTCCTCCCTGTCATATAAGACGATACATTTGCACGCTAGGATCTGTAAATCTGCATGCCCGGCCCCCCGCAAGCCCGGGACCCTAGCTGGTCGCCTGCCCCTAAATCCAACCCTGTATGGAAGAGGAGCCAGCGGCAGTGGTTTCAAAAATAGGGGGCAGAGGGGCTTTTTCTTCCCCTCCCCCAGACTGGGACAGCTCAGCGCCCGCTTCCCAGGGATGTTTTCAAAACAGCACCAGTGCAGCCCATTGCCAGCTCTTATCTATCAGATATGATGAACGAAGCTGCTAAAAGAGACTTGATTCAATGAACTATCTCTCATCAACCTCCTCAAAAAAAAAGTATAATTGTCGTACGTATTTTTGGTGTTTGAAAGACTCATCAGCTGTGTCTGCATAAAACCTCAAACCAGGTCACACATTTGTCTTATTTAGCATTCTCTGATGGCTTGAATTGCACTGTAGGGTTGCCAAGTTTGGGTGAACGGATTCCTGGAGGTGTCATCACATGACGTAATCTTTAACTGAAGATTTCTCTTTAATTCCTGGCGACTCCAGGACAATCCTGGAGGGTTGGCCACCCTATTGGACTCCCTTTCGTGTAAGCCACCGCAAATGGAGTTTCATTATTTATTTTAAAATATTATTTGTGTTACTCTCAGCACTTCATCATTCACCTTCGTTAACACGGTGCAGACAGATGTCGCCGTGCTATTTAATATGTATATTTTTAATAGCAACTAAGCAATGAAACTCTGAATAGTTGCTCGCAACTTCAGCCATCACAAATCACAGTGTTTCTAGTGTAATGTTGTATTGCAATAGTGTAATTTAGTTTGCCATGTTTAGTTTAGTTTCATGGAGGGTAGGTCCATCGATGGCCAAGACTATAACAGGGTTCAAGAAAGAACTAGACAAGTTCATGGAGGATAGGTCCATCAATGGCTATTAGCCAGGATGGGCAGGGAGGGTGTCCCTAGCCTCTGTTTGCCAGAAGCTGGGAATGGGCGACAAGGGGTGGATCACTTGATGATCACCTCTTCTGTTCATTCCCTCTGGGGCACCTGGCATTGGCCACTGTCAGAAGACAGGACACAGGGCTAGATGGACCTTTGGTCTGAGCCAGTGTGGCTGTTCTTATGTTGTTCAATTTTTGTATAACATGAGTTTATTCCCTGGGCTAAAAGTTACAAGGTGGGCACCATCACTTCCTCCTGTTCCACTTGTGCGTAGTTAGGTGCCTGCCTAGCTCGTTCTCACAAGAAGCAGTTACCTTGCCTGGTTCCAGAAGAAGATTCCCATTTGTAGCTCGCCAGGTAGAGCTAGGTGCCTACCTGCTGTGGGGACTTAGGCACTGAGCTCTGTGCTGGGTGGATCTTAGCACACACCCCTCTGGTTGGCATCTTCCATGGGCTGGCTGAGGCAGGTCCCCGTCAGGCGTGCTGGCTTCTGTGGATCGCATTCTGCAGTGCCTCTCTCTCCCCTGTGCACCTAACTCCGGCGCAGTGGTGTTCCCGAGACTTTCTACGTGCCTAAAAGCTAGGCGTCGTGATCCTAGGCATCATGACGCTCCAGTCCCCTTGTGAATCCAGCTCCGGGTCTTTCCCTCCCTGCTAAGAACGGTGATTTTTGTTTGTTTGTTTGTTTGTTAACCGCAGGGTAACTAAGGTGTAGGCGCTATTCTAAAGTAAAAACACAGCGGAGGACAAGGCACTTTGGTTTCAGCAGGGAGGAAAAGGCCTGAGAAAACGTGTCTGAAATAAGATCAGAGGGCAACGCGCTGACATGTTTGTGCCAAAGTAGAGACTTGCAAATGTTGTGTTGAAAACCTGTGCAATATGTGCAACGGGGTGGGGGGTGGGGGGAAGTCTGTATAAGGAACAATGGTAGATTTTCTTTAAAATGTATTCATGAGTAAGGCCAAGATTTTGTCACGGGCACTTTTAGTAAAAATCACGGGAAGGTCACGGGCAATAAATAAATCACAGAAGGCCGCTCCCCCCAGCGCGGGGCTGACAGATGGAGGCCAAGTCCTGCCGCCCGGGGCTGAAGTCACGGTCACCTAAAATCGCAGAATCTGTGACCTTATTTGTGAATATTTCAAATACGGTTTGCTCCGCTTTACACTTACAGTCGGTGCTGTGTGTGCATTCCATGTTTGTGTTGCACGGAAACTCTACGGCCAAAGCTACATTGGAACGAGATTAAAAAAGAAAAAATACCTTCATGCCGGGTTTTCCATACAATAGCCCTGAGGGTTAACTCCGTAGAACACTTTTTCCAGTTTACAAAAATATAGTAAAAGCGGCGTTATCCGGCACTTTACCAACTGGAAACTGGCATTTCTGATCTTCATTGAAAGTCCAGTTTATAGTCCAGTTGGTGCGGGGCCAGCAGGCTCCCTACCTGCCTCCATGTGGCTCCCTGGAAGCGGCGACATTTCCCTGCTGCTGCTAGGCGGAGGAACGGCCATGGGGGCTCCGTGCGCTGCCCCCGCCCCACCCGCTGGCTCCGCAACTCCCATTGGCCAGGAACCATGGCCAATGGGAACAGCGGGGGTGGCGCCTGTGGGTGGAGGCTGTGCGCAGAGTCACGTAGCCGCGCCTCTGCCTAGGAGCAGCAGGGACATGTTGCCGCGTGTGGGGAGCTGCTCGAGGTGAGCGCCGCCCGGATCTGGCACCCTAACCCCCTGCCCCTCCCGTACCCAAACTCCCTTCCACAGCCCCACCCCCATCCTCTCCCATGCCCCAATTTCCAGCCGAGCCCCCTCCCACACCCAAACTCCCTCCCAGAGCCCCACCCACCATCCTCTCCCGCGCCCCAACCCCCAGCCTCCTCCCGCACCCAAACTCCCTCCCAGAGCCCCACCCACCATCCTCTCCCGCGCCCCAACCCCCAGCCCTGAGCCCCCTCCTGCACCCAAACTCCCTTCCTTTTAGTTAACCAGAATTTTTGACTTACCAGCACCCCCCATTCCTGCAACATGCTGGATAACAAAGCTTTTATTGTACCTTTCTTTGTATCCCAATTTCTATTTGGGGAAACAACAGCTCCGAAAGCCCCCCCCGCCAGCCTCCACCTCCATTCTGGGCCATTTTTTCACTCATTGTTCAACCAAAGGACTCTAGGAGTCTGAGAAACTGAATTCTACTTTATTGTTCCAAAGCAAGAAATAAAAGACATCCCGCCCAACGCCCAGCTTGGCACGGTGCGTTTCAGCCCCAGCCCGGCAAATTGCTGCCCCTGGCTCCCGCACACACCAAAACAGAGCAATATTTTGCAGCTGGTAGAAAACGGGAGAGAATGCGTGAGAGACGCCGGGATCCCGTCACAGCCACAAATGCTTCAAGAGACCCAGCGAGCACAGCTCAATCCGAGCTAGAGAACAAGGCGAATGTCCAGAAGTAGCAGCATCTCCAATCCCAGCTGAGGCTTTTATTTACCCCAGGACATGCCTGGTGTGTGTGGGGCCAGCGTGGACGAGAGTCTCCGTTGCCCCCACGCAGGTGCTGCGGCAGATGGGGAGAGGGTGACCTGTGACCAGCTCCGTTGCCCTCTGCTTCGGTAATAGGGGTCAGCCTGGCTTCAGGCCTGTTGGCTTCTCAGCCTGTTCCTCTCAGGAATCTGGGGATACCCCTCGCCCCCGCATCCCTGCATAACTTCCCTTGGGGCATCATACATAGAAATCAGAGATGTCCTCATCCGACACTCATAGGACATTGCTTGTAAAACAGCCTTGGTTCTCGGGCTCCCCAGCTCTGTATATTCCAGCTCCCACGCTCTCCCCATCCTGACGGTATTTCTCAGCAGTGCCGGGGTCAGGCAGTAACATCCTTCCCCGGTTCAGTCTCTGCCTCTTGGGCTACGACTCTCACTCCGCCTCCGTCCCCCCTCCCCAGCGTTTGTGCCCATGGTTACTTATGACGACCATTGCTCGAACCACACTAAAAACTCACGACAAAAGGGCGTGGAAACAGAATAAAAGAAAGGGTATTCGGGAAATTGATTGCGTCTCGTGCAGTCCCCAGTGCGTTGACATTACGTCCCGTCAGGCTAAACAAAGTGCGACGCATGTGACCAAACGGCCTTCAAGTACCTAAACAAAACCTGACACTTTGAGGGTGGGCTGTAAAACTATTTCAGGTTCACACACATTGACATCGCAGAGCATGTTCCATCTGACATAGAGGAAAACGGATGTGCCTGTGTTCTCCGCTGAACTGCCTAAACCCGCTTCCCCCAGAGTCCCCTTCTCATTTAGCCCTATTATTTACAAAAGGTTTGCAGCCTCATAATGAAAAACAAAATAAGAACATAAGAGCGGCCACACTGGATCAGACCAAAGGTCCATCTAGCCCAGTGTCCTGTCTTCTGACAGTGGCCAATGCCAGGTGCCCCAGAGGGAATGAACAGAACAGGGAATCATCAAGTGATCCACCCCCTGTTGTCCATTCCCAGCTTCTGGCAAACAGAGGCTAGGGACACCATCCTGGCTAATAGCCATTGATGGACCTATTCTCCATGAACTTATCTAGTTCTTTCTTGAACCTTGTTATAGTCTTGGCCTTCACAACATCCTCTGGCAAGGGGTTCCACAGGATGACTATGCATTGTGTGAAGAAATACTTCCTTTTGTTTGTTTTAAACCTGCTGCCAATTAATTTCATTTGGTGACCTCTAGTTCTTGTGTTATGCCAAGGAGTAAACAGCACTTCCTTATTTACTTTCCCCACCCCAGTCATGATTTCATAGACCTCAATCGTATCCCCCCTTAGTTGTCTTTTTTCGAAGCTGAAAAGTCCCAGTCTTACTAATCTCTCCTCATATGGAAGCCGTTCAATACCCCTACTCATTTTTGTTGCCCTTTTCTGAACCTTTTCCAATTCCAATATATCTTTTCAGAGATGGGGCGACCACATCTGCACACAGAATTCAAGATATGGGCATACCATGGATTTATATAGAGGCAGTATGATATTTTCTGTTTTATTATCTAACCCTTTCTTAATGATTCCCAACATTCTGTTTGCTTTTTTGACTGCCGCTGCACCAAAAACTATCCACAATGACTCCAAGATCTCTTTCTTGAGTGGGAACAGCAAATTTAGACCCCATCGTTTTATACATATCGTTGGGATTATGTTTTCCAATGTGCATTAATTTGCATTATTCAAAACCTTATAAAAACCCAAGCTTCCCACCTGCCAACAAGCTGAGCTTGGCAGGAAAACGCCTGGAAGCTGCTCTATCAATGAAGTGGGGTTTAAGCTCAGAAGGATTTGGGATACACTAGTATCGTGACAATTTCAGCTCCAATGACATAGGATCACAGCGTCTCAAAGAGCAATTCTCAAGCCCGGGGAGCTGAGATCACTGAGTCATGTGACAGGCGTAAGGGTAGAACGGGGGAGATAAACTCTCCATGGCTTGGACAGATGCTGCTGTCATGAGGGGAGACCACCAGGGTGACGGGCGAAGGAGGGGAATCGCTGTAACTCACCCCCTTGCCCCCAAGTAACATGGAGGCTTCACCGCCATGTTTTTCTCTCCCCTGTTCCAGCTCTTTGAGAATCGCCTCTTTCATTCTATAAGCAAACAGAGCCGGCAGCTTCTTCGGCACAACCTACAGCACAGTGAGAAGAACCAGGAATGAGACAATCTGTTGCCAACAGGGTCGGATTCATCTTTTTGGGGCCTCGGCACCCAGACTGTGGCCCTGTCTCCCGCTCCACCCGAGGCCCCGCCCCCACCTGGCCTCTTCCCTCCCCAAAGCCCTGCCCCATCTGGCCTCTTCCCCTAAGGCCCCACCCCCACCTGGCCTTTTCCCCCCCGAGCCCTGCCGGCGCTCTGCCCCAAGGCCCTGCCCCCACTTGGTCTCTCTGCCTTGAGGCCCTGCCCCTGCTTGGCCTCTTCTTCCCCCCCACCCCCCCGAGGCCCACCTGCTCTCCACCCCAAGGCCCCGCCCCCACTTGGCCTCTCTGCCCTGGGGCCCCGCCCACCACTCACACGGAGGGAAGGGGTGGAGAAGAGCAAGCAGGTTGGTGCCATTGTAAACCCAGCACTGGTCCCCAAAAGGAAGAACTCAGCGACTCTGACAATCACTCTGCTCACGGTGGGGACTATTGCGAATGAGACGCTCACAGTCGGTCTAGACGAGTAAATGCATTGAAGGTTCGGTCCGGGACAGGAGAAATGTGCTACCTATGCCTAATTCCTAGTCGAGCGGAACTGTCACAGGCCAATGGGGCTGGCTTTGAGGGGAGATTCCTAGGGCTTTAGGCTTTTTTAGGTGTCCTACAGTGAGATGTTACGGAAATCAGTGCCTCTCAGAGGGGTAATGATATGGAGCAGCACCTCTCTAACCCTTCTCCCATGATCCCCAAATTTCAGTCCTGGGTGGAGCGTCTGATGTCCAACATGGCGTTCGCTCTGCTCGGAGCTTTTCCCACGGTAACGACCTTTAAGAGGTCTCTTCCCTGGGTGCATTTGCTGATGCCTGGTGCAAACTGACCCAGGCTGATGCGTCTGCCGTGTGGATTCTCTGGTGCACGATCAGCTGGGAGCTCTGGCTGAAGCTTTTCCCGCAGCGAAGGCAGTAATAGGGTTTCTCTCCCGTGTGGATTCCCTGATGTCGAATGAGGCTGGAGCTCAGGTTGAAACCTTTCCCACAGTCCGAGCATTTGTAGGGTTTCTCCCCCCTGTGCAGTCTCTGATGGGTAATGAGCTGTGAGCTCTGAATGAAGCTTTTCCCACATTCTAGGCAGTTGTAGGGCTTCTCTCCCGTGTGGATTCTCTGATGCGCAATCAGGTTGGAGCTCTGCCTGAAGCTTTTCCCACAGTGCTGGCATTGACAGGGCCTCTCCCCCGTGTGCAGTCTCTGATGTACCACGAAGTTGGAGTTCCGATTGAAAGTCTTCCCGCACTCCAGGCACTTGTAGGGTTCCTCGCCCGTGTGGATTCGGTGATGCACAATGAGCTCTGAGGTCCGACTGAAGCGTTCCCCACAGTCGGGGCATTGATAGGGTCTTTCCCCCGTGTGGATTCTCTGATGGGCAACAAGAACGGAGCTCTGGATGAAACTTTTCCCGCACTCAAGGCATTTGTAGGGCCTTTCGCCCGTGTGGATTCTGTGATGGGCGATGAGGTGCGAGTTGTCACTAAAACTTTTCCCACATTCGAGGCACTTATAGGGTCTTTCTCCCGTGTGGGTTCGCTGATGTCTAATGAGAAGCGAGCTCTGACTGAAGCTTTTCCCGCAGTCGAGGCATTTATAGGATTTCTCCCCCGTGTGGGTTCTCTGATGTCTAATAAGGTACGAGCGCCAATGAAAGCTTTTCCCGCACTCCACGCACGTGTTGTCTCTCTCTCCGGCGTGGATTCTCGGTCGGGATGCGGTTTCCTTGAGATCGCTGCATCCTCCCGCACGGTGAATGGATTGAACAACATTCTCCCTTGGCTGGTTTCCCAGCTGCCTCTCTGACCCGCATTGACTTCCAGAGTCCTTTCCCCACCCATGACGCTGGGGAAAGTTCCTTTCTGATGTCGCCGATAACACTCCGCACGGTTCCACTTGCCCAAGGCCTTCCTGCTGTGGATTCTCCTCCCCGTTCTCACTCACCATCTTGCCAGCTGCTGGGACAGAGAGAGAATCCGGACGCGAGTCGTTCCCTGTGCCAGGCGAAAGGGGAACTGCAAAGAGAGGGAACACAGCAGGATAACTGCTGGGGACATTGAGACAGGTAAAATTTCTAACCCATCTGTCGTTTTAACTTCTCTGAAGTGGGTCCCCGGTGCTCCGTGAGCCATTACAACTGGGTTATTCTGCCTCACCTGTCACCTGTCAGCTCTGTGTTCTTGGGGAACCAGGGCGCAGTATCCAGCCTGTCTGACTCACGAAGGACACCCACCCTCCCCAGCCTCTGCTTGAACCAAAGCCGGTCAGAAGAAAGACTTACAAAAAGCAATGAAAAGGCCGTGGAAGACACCCCTAAACCCCTCCGGACAAGGGTGACAGGATTAAGGCAATTCCCCTAGCCTCATTTGCATCGAAGATGGGACAGGGAGGCATCTCCATTAGCATACAGACTGGAGACCAGAGATTCCAAGGCAAGAACCGCATGGAACTCTGGAACCAGAAAAGCAGGGAAGCACTGCATGATGGGGGATTTCTGCTCCAGATGTTAATGAATCCATGCCTGCACACACCCAGTTTTGTAGTTATTAGACCAATTCTAGTAATAAATCCTTTATTGGTATCCAAAATACTGAAGCTGCCTAATTGCATTGTGAGCTCCCTCGGAGGAACACCGCCCAGAGCCAGGAATGAGCAGTTCCTATTGTCTAACCTGAACAAAACAACTGTGGTATACACTGCATCGTGGGATATCCTGCAGATAGTAGATGATGTCAGGGAACTCAGAGTGCAGAAGAAGAGGAATGTCCAAGCGATCTTCTCTGAGATCCTTCCTGACCCACGGGAAAAGGAAGACAGAAGGCAATAGATTCTGGAAGTGAATCACTGGCTAGATAAAGGGCATAAGGCGGAGAGTTTGGGGGTTTGGGGACATTGGTCCACCTTTTATGTGAAGAGGGGGCTGTATCGTTTGGAAGGCCTCAGTAGAAGAGGGACCAATCTTCTCAGGGACTGGTTGGCTACAGTAATTAGGAGGGCGTTAAACTAATAACAAAAGAGCAGGGTAAAAAGAGGAACATTCAGAGCACTCAGCACAAAATCAAAATGGTGGGAACAAAATTAATCAAGGATGCAAAGGACACGAAGAGAAGAAATTCTTGAATTGCCCATACGCCAATGTTAGGAACCTGGGGAAGAAACAAGAGGAATTGGAATGACTCATTTCCGAGCATAAATCTGATCTCGCTGATCTTACGGATCCCTGGTGGGACGATTCTCATGACTGGAAGGTTAAAATAAATGGTTATAACCTATCTAGGAAGGACAGAGTGGGCAAAAGTGGGGAGCCAGTGGCATCACTGATGACTTGGAAGAAAATGATCTTCAATGGTTATGGATCAATGCCCTAACAGATAAAGCACAAGATGGGGCATTAGTTGGTATCTGCTACAGACCCTCAAATTTCACTAAGGAACAGGATGACCGGCTCCTTAAGAACCTATCTATAAAGGATATGGGGGGGAAAAAGCTGTGTGATCATGGGGGACTTCAGTTTGAGTGATATACGCTGGAGGTCTCATGCCACCAGTGCTAAAATGTCCTTGAAATCTCTAAACATTATAGATGGCAATTACCTCGCTCAAACAGGACCTGACCACAGAACTAACAATCAATGGTAACTTACGTACCATGGATCACGACTTGATCACATTTATATACTTGGTCCAGTTTGGCAAATCTGAAGACAATTATGATCCAGATCAGCTGGGAGGAAGAATTTAAGCTGAAAAATTTGAATGACAATTGGAAATTGTTTAAGAACTTGATGCTCAAAAAGCTATGACCCCACAATCCAGGAAGAAGGAGGTATTGGTTAAAAAAATGAACTGGCTTAGAGAGGAAGTGAATGCCGCTATAAAAATTCAAATATATAGATATACAAAAAATGGTAGAAAGGAGAAGTTAATAGTAACTAATATTAATCAGATGCTAGACATTGTAGAAAATTGATAAGGAAAGCAAAGGGACAAAAGACAAACTCTATGGCGAGCGGAGTGAAGGACAATAAGAAGTTTTTTAAGTCCATTAGGAACTAAAAGAATCCAAACAATGGTACTGCAAGAGGGAAATGGTAGAATTTTCTATAATAATGCAGATGAGGCAGAAGTGTTCAACAAATATTTCTGTTCCATACTTGGGGGGGAAACAGATGATGTAGTCCTATTATATAATGATACTCTTTCCATTTCATGAGTATCTCAGGAGGATGTTAAACAGCAGCTACTAAAGTTACACATTTTTAAATCTGCAGGACCAGATAACTTGCATCCAAGAGTTTAAAAGAACTGGCTGAGGACCTCACTGGATCATTAATGCTGATTTTCAATAAGTCTTGGAAAACCAAAGAATTTCCAGAAGACTGGAAGAAAGCTAATGTTGTGCCAACATTTAAAAAGGGTAAATGGGTGACTCAGGTAATCATAGGCCTGTCAGTTTGACATCAATCCTGGGCAACATAATGGAGCGGCTGATACAATACTTGATTAATAAAGAATCAAAGGAGGGTAACATAATTAATGCCAATCAACATGTATTTATGGAAAATAGATCCCGTCCAACAAACTTGATATCTTTCTTTGATGAGATTACATGTTTGGTTGAAAACAGGGTTGCCAATTTTGGTTGGATGTATTCCTGGAGGTTTCATCACATGATATAATCTTTAATTAAAGATTAATCTTTAATTCCTGGAGCCTCCAGGACAATCCTGGAAGGTTGGCAACCCTAGTTGAAAAGGTACTAGTGTTGATGTAATTATACTTAGACTTCTGGAAGGCGCATGACTTGCTACCACATGCAGGGCTGGCTCTAGGCACCAGCAAATCAGGCACGTGCTTGGGGCGGCACATTTTCAGTGGTGGCATTCCGGCCATCTTTTTTTTTTTTTTTTTTCCTTCGGACGGCAAAAGCCTAGAGCCGGCCCTGGCAGCAGCCGTGGGGGAGCAGCGCCCGCATCTTGTGGCTGGGCCGGGCAGGCTCCGAGCGGGGGACACTTGGGCTGGGGGCTGCCACCCAGCGGCACAGCTGAGCCACCCAGGGACTGCAGCAGGGCAGCCAGCAGCAGCAGCGGGGCCATAGAGGGCGGGGTGCTGCTGTGTGGGGCCCGCGTCCGCTCTCCGGGGCTACGCTCCCTCTGGGGCTACCCTGCCCCGGCTCCTCAGCCCCCTGTCGGGGCGGTCCCCCGGCTCTGCCCTCCTGGGTCCCGGCCAGTCCTGGAGGCGGGAGCCCTGGCTGGAGGGATCCGGGGCTGAGGCGCGGCCCGGGAGCCCCGCTGCTTACCCCGACCCTGCCAGCGCCGGACCGGCTGGAGGCGAGGGGGGAACGGGCGGAGTCAGCACTGGTGTGGGGGAGCGGCAGGGGGTGCGGGTGGGCGAGGGCACTGGTGGGGGTGGGGTGAGAGCCCAGGGCTGGGGTGGGGGGCAGCCAAAAATTTTTTTGCTTGGGGCAGCAAAAAACCTAGAGCCGGCCCTGACCACATGACATTTTGATTAAAAAACTAGAATGATATAAAATTAACATGGCACACATGAATGGTTTTAAAGCTGGCTAACTGATGGGTCTCCAAATTTTAAACAGGGAATCGCCATCAAGTGAGTGTGTTTCCTGTCAGTTCTTGGCCTTATTAACGACCTGGAAGAAAACATCAAATCATCACTAATAAAGTTTGCCGATGACACAAAAACTGGGGGAGTCGTAAATAATGAAGAGAGCAGGTCACTGACGCAGAGCGATGGGGACCACTTGGTGAACTGGGCGCCAAGCAAACAACAGGGGTTTCAACACGGCTAAATGTAAATGTATACATCTAGGAACAGGGAACATTGGCCATACTTACAGGCTGGGGGACTCAATCCTGCGCCTTCCTCCGCAGCATAGGGCAGGGGTCGCAAGCTGGAAGATTCTCTGCATCTTGAAGTCTTTAGATCACGATCTGGAGACTTCAACAGCAGAGTTAAGGGAAAGTGGGGGGGTCAGCTTTTGTGGCCTGCATCATGCGGGAGGTCAGACTAGATGACCATATTGGTCCCTTCTGACCTTAAAGTCTATGAGTCTATGAGTCTAGGAGGCAGTAATTCTGAAGTAGATTTGGGTGTCATGGTGGATCATCAGCTAAGCATGAGCTCCCAGCGCGATGCAGTGACTAAAAGGACTAATGAGATGCTTGGAGGCATAAAGAGGGGAATCTCGAGTAGGAGCAGAGAGGTTGTTATTTTACCTCTGAATTTACCACAATGCGACCTCGGCTAGAATATTGCGTCCAGTTCTGTTGTCCAAGAAGACGGATAATATGGAGCGAGTTCAGAGAAGAGCCATAAGAACAATCAAAGGATTTGAAAAACGGCGCAATATTTTAACGGTGAAGGGAATTAACCACTGCAACAACTTACCAAGAGTGGTGCGGGTTCTCCATAACGGGACATTTTAAAATCAAGCCAGGTTGTTGTTCTGAAAGCTCTGTTCTAATTCAAACAGTAAGTGACTCAGGAAAGTCCTATGGCCCAGGGGCATCAGAACGGGGGATGCGGGGGAAGGGGCCATGGTCCGTTCACTTTTCTCCAAGGGCCAGGCCCCTGCCCCTCCTCTTCCCCCCCAAGGCCCTGCCCCCTGGCCAGGCCGGAAGCTGGAGCCCGGCCCAGGTAAGAGCAGCCCGGGGAGCCCGGGCAGCTTTGGGGAGGCGTGGATCCTCCACCTGCCTGGGGCAGGGGGGCCCTGAGAGCAGCCTCCAGCCCGTGTCTCTGCCCCCGGGCCCGCTGCCCAGGGCAGATGGTGGGTCCGCGGCTCTTCACAGCTGCCCAGGTGGCTCCTACCATGGCCTGGCTGTGGCTCTTTGGCCCCCGAGGCCCCACCCCCCAGCCAGAAGCTGGAGCCGGGTCGGGGTAAGAGCCATGCGGGCAGCTGTGCGGAGCCACGGACCCTCCAATGGGCGGGGAGTCTGGGGAGGCAGGGAAGCGGGTCGGGGTGGGGCGG